GTAAAGATGACACCTCCGGAAAACACTTATGCAAGACTATAACAGATATGTTGTCTGGACTACAACATATCTGTTATAGTCTTGGTGTTGTAGAATCTAATCAAGAAATAATTTCAGATACAGAAGCTGGAGTGATATGAATATAAGTCAAGCAATCAACCTGTTTATCAGATACGATGAGATTAGCAGAATTAAGAGATGAGTTAAGAAGCACATAAGTCAGCAGGAAAACAAAAGATTTCTACTCAAGGACTATCACATGATAAATCACGGAAATTTTACAAAGCAGATTAAAGGCTGTTGTAAAAGTTGCAATGATCAGGAGATTCTAATGATAAAGAAGAATGATAATATAGTTATTAGATTAGAGAGATTATAATTATTAAATTAGAGAGATTATAGTATTAGATTAGAGAGATTATAGTTATTAGGTTAGAGAGATAACATTTATTAGATTAGAGAGATTATATTAATTAGATTAAAGAGATAATAGTTATTAGATTAGAAAGATTATAGTTATTAGATTAGAAAGATTATGGTTATTAGATTAGAGAGATTATAGTTATTAGATTAGAAAGATAATATTTATTAGATTAGAGAGATTATAGTTATTAGGTTAGAGAGATTATAGTTATTTCATTAGAGAGATAAATTCGTGATCAGAAGCATCTAAGGGTGAACGTGGAAAAACTGAGCAATGAATAGAATCTAAAAAAATGCATAAGTTGAGTAGAGCAGGTAAATTTTTTGAATTGTCTTAAATGCAAGTTGGAGTTTTGACTAACTGTGTTTATGATTAAGAAAGGCAGAATTTTGGGTCTTAACACCTGTAGACTCACTGACACCAGAGCCAAGCCAATCAGTGTAATAAGCATTAAGAACTAAAAGGTTAAAAAGAAAGGGCCTAATGATTTTAACTGTACATAACATTGAAAAGACTGCAGTCTTCAAATGACGAAGAGCTATATAGAACAAAGAGAAAAAAAAGAGTAAAGTGGGGCTAAACAAAAGCGAATTAAAGAATATTCTCTGAATGTAAACCTAGTTACTCAACAAATGGGTAAATTTTTACAAATATAAATGCCCAGGCCAAGCATGTGACTATTAAACTTGTTACAAATTAAGGTTAAGTAACCATCAACACGTCAATGAGCTGAAAAAACGTCAGCTCATTGATTGTCAAAATCATTTTCTTGACCAAGAGAAAAGAGATTTGTACTTAAAAAGAATAATGGAAACTGTATGGCAGCTTGAATAAAATAAAGCGTTAAACTCAGTTAATAAGATTTGGAGTCTGGAACCTATAATATATATATATATATATATATATATATATATATATATATATATATATATATATATATATATATATGTATATAATATATATATATATATATATATATATATATATATATATATATATATAAATATATAAATATATGTATAT